TAAAAGGCGGATCAAGTGTCCCTCTTTTGTTAACTAAAGATAATAGTGGGAGCCCTTTTTGGCGTGCGGTGTGGCGGTGCGCTGGCTCCACTGGAGGAACCACTGTTGTACCTTTTGGTCCCCTGTAAGTACTGTACTTTTGAGCAAACAAACTGAAACGCGCCATTTCTTACCTTTACTTTTACACAGCTACGTACAACATTACCTCCGCGGCAAATATTCACGATACTATCGCCTAATCGGCGATTTTTCGCGTTACTTTAAAAGCTATTCTGTCCGTCAAGTAGTCCCTAGGGCGCCTTTTACTCTTCATCATGTATACGCCCTAGATCGGATCTCAGCTAACATCCGCACGAATTAACTAGTGGCGAAACGGCGCACAGATTAGTGGGAATTAAGCACTGCTGCCCCTGGAAATAGAGTTACATTGGCACGCAGCTCTACGATCCGCGCCTCTACACATGTTTCACGCTACAAAAAATTATATTCATTCATGATTTATTACGCCCGGTGGCCTCCGGCCAATAGGGCTTAAAAAAAAAAATTAATACTATGCACCTTATTCAGGCGATGAGGCTGCCTCCATAACGCTCGAGAATTATAGAATGGATGGCGTAAAGTAAGCAACGCGCAGTGCAAGTATTATCCATGCTGCGTCGTGGTGGGCCATTTGGACAAGGAACTTACGTGGAACTATTTGAACCCGTGGACTCCTCACTCTCCCAAAAAAAAAAAAAAAAAAACGACAGTCAGAGATCTGGCCAAGAAGCGTGCTTAATAAAGCGCCTCGCTCCGGACCGGAACTGGGAGGCTGAAGGCCTGACGTGTCTCCCAGCGGAGTCTAGTCTGAATGTTTGCCTGACAAGTACGAAAGCAAGACGCACTAAACAGTCGATTCCCAGCTTCCGCTCCTCAAGCTGCATCACCAAAATTCTAGAGAAAGCGAATTGCCCCTGCGGAATATGCAATCACGATTTAGTGTTCATGTTTTTCTGATTTTGGTGTTCTGATTAGACCACGAAGGCAGCGAATGGTGGACTATGTCTTTTTTCGCGTTCGTGACGTAGAGCTGGGATGAAGCGTCAGGCGCCTTAACAATGCCCTTGTGCCCATTCTTTCGTTCACCCTGACAGCTGTGTCACCATTCACGTCCACGTAGCCCGGATCTGCCTTGGCTTGTAACAAAACAGCTATTACCTTCTCGTAGCCGTAGTGCGAGGGCCAAAATAGCGGCGATCTGCGAGAACTTGACAACGAGTTGACGTCTACGTCTGGTCGTTGCGCCAGAATGTTGACGACGGCGTCGTGTCCCTGATCTGCTGCGATCCATAAAGGCGTTACCATCCGCGCATTTTTTAAATCCGGCCTAACACCTTCCTGTAGAAGCTGTTCGATACCATTTACGTCCCCAGCTTTTGCCGCATTGTAGAATTTCGCGATACGACGATGGTCGTCGTTGGCTGAGACAAGACAGCCCTGTCAGGATATCAGGTCTAGGACGCGATCTTGGCCACACATTGCCGCTGCGAGTAAGACTGTTTCCGTAACGGAGAGCGTAGTGTCGTCTCTATACTGTTCAAAGAGAAGTTGCATGACATGCAACAATTGGTCCTATGCACTCTTCTCTCTCTAGGAAATGACAGAGATCTGACTGAGAAGTGAGCCCAATGTAGGGACTTGCTCTGTGCCGGAACTGGGAGGTTGGCGTCCTGCTGGGTCTCCCAGTGGAGTCTGGATTGCATCGGCATGGCTGGGTAGGGATCAGCGCAAAACGCACTAAGCAGTAGATTTATCGCTGTAAATTTTCACGCTGCAACATGGAGGAGCGGCATCATTTGTTAGCTGTTTCCCATTCGTTGCGTGCAGCCGCATTTGCCACCTGCTCTTTGATCGTGATCTCGATTTCTCACTGATTGAGCAGCAACGCCTTCACCTCTTTCCCACTATGCTTATTTCCCAACGCAGCTATCATTACCGCTTCTGTGATCGTGATCTCGCTTCCTCGTTGATTGAGAAGTAGTGCCATCACTTCCTTGCCATTTCCCCAATTTCCTGCAGCAGCCGCCACCACATGCTCCGTGATCGTGATGTCGTTTCCTCGCTGATCGAGGAGCAGCGCCATTACCTCCTTGCCATTCCTCCAATTTCCTGCCGCAGCTATTACTACCTCTTCCGTGATCGTCACGGCGCTTCCTCGTAGCTTAAGAAAAGACGCCATAACTTCCCCGTCCACGCTTCCAGCAAGAATAGTGGCCAACTTTTCTGTGATTATGATCTCGCTTCCTCTGTGTTCGAGAAGGAGCGCGATCACTTTCTTGCTGTTCTCCCAATTTTCTGCCGCAGTCGTCATCTTCGCCATCAACTCTGCGATCATAGAATCGCCTGTGTGCAGATTGGAAAAAAGCGCCATCACCTCCTTGCCAGTCTCTAAAGCCCTCATCACAGTTAACACCACCTGCTCTGTGATGGTTATTTCGCTTCCTCGCCGGTCGAGAAGTAGCGCCAACATTTCCTTGCCCTGCTTTCGATTTACCGCCGCAGCCTTGACCACATCCTCCGTAATCACGATCTCACTTCCTCGCTGGTCGAGAAGAAAAGTCAGTACTTCCTTGGCCTTTCCTAGATTTTTCGCCGCGGCCTTCACCACCTCTTCTGTAATCGTAATCTCATTTCCTCGCTGATCGAGGAGCAGCGCCATCATCTCCTTGCCATCAGTCTCATTTCCTGCCGCAGCCAGCACAACCCGCTCTGCAATCGTTCTATCGCCTCCTTTGTAGTTGAGAAGCAGCGCCATCACTTCTTTGCCATTCCCCTTGCTCCCTGCCGTGGCTATCAACATCTCCTCTTCTCGCTGCTCGAGGAGGAACATAATCACTTCTTTATTACCGCCCCGGACTCCTGCCGCAGCATTTACTATTTCCTTTGTAATCGTGATCTCGCTTCCTCGCTGGTTGAGAATGAGCCTTATCACTTCCTTACCACTCTTCCAATTTTCTGCCGCAGCCTTCATGACATCTTTCGTGATCGTGATGTCGCTCCCTCGCAGCGTCAGGAGAAGCGCTATCACTTCTTTGCCATTGTCCAAATTTCCCGCTGCAGCCTTCATCACCTCCTCCGTTACTGCGATCTCTCTTCCCCAATGCTTGAAGAAAAGGGCCGTTACCTCCTTGTCAAAACTTCCAACAAGAATTGTGACAAACTTCTCTGTGATTGTGATCTTAATTGCCCGTTGGTGAAGAAGGAGCGCCATTACCTGCTTGCCATTCTTCCAATTTTCAGCCGCAGCCTTTACTACCTCTTCTGTGATTGTGATTTCACCTCCTCGCCGCCGGAGAAAAAGCTCCATCACTTCGCTGCCACTCTCCCAGTTTCTCGCCGCTGCCTTCACCACCTCTTCTGTCATCGTGATTTCGCTTCCTCGATGATCGAGAAGGAGTGTCACCAACTCGGAGCCAAAGCTCCTAGCAAGACTAGTGACTAATATTTCTGTAATGGTCATCTTGCTTCCGCGTTGTTCCAGAAGCAACGTCATCACTTCCATGCCACTCTTGACATTTCCTGCCGCAGCCTTCACCACCTTCTCTGTGATTGTGATCTCGCTCCCGCGCTGCTC